CTCAGACCTTGTGCATGTTTTCGGTCGACCGCAGCTGACTCGCGGTTGACCGCCAAGCTTCCTGAGCATTTCCTGGCTGATTTTCTTAACAGTTCTTTGTCATGTTCATTGCTTCTACAAATCTCCACCTCCGTAAAGTTTCTCCCAAAACTGAGTTGACACCAAAACATCCAAATGTCCTACTTGTTGTGTCCAGTACGAAGTGGAATCAACTCACGATAACGGACTCAATTCATAACAAGTCGGGAACCCAAACGAGAGCTCAAACAATATCCCCCTATCGAAATCAACAAATCCAACCCAGCTGCATTAAAAAGACTGCCTACGTATCCTCTTGCTCAAGGAATCAAGCTGAACGTAGTTTACCCAAATAGCCTCCAAAGGGCCCTCAATATTAAAGAATGTTCAATAGCTTCAAACAATGACTAAAATTTACACCTGGAACAACTTTGGTCAACATATCCGTAGGGTGTCTTTCGTGTGGATCTACTTCAATATGACGTCTCTATCATCCAAAACATCATGAATAAAGTGGAATCTGACATCAATATGCATCGTGTATGCATGATAAACCTGGTTCTTTGCCAAATAGATAGCCGACATGCTATCAAAATATACCCGAAGGGTCTCTTGTGCAATCTCCAAGTCCTCCAACAATCTATGCAACCACAAAGTCTTATTCACAGCTTCAGTCACCGTCATATACTCCACCTCTGTAGTAGAGAGAGCCACTGTAGACTGAAGTGTGCATCTACAATATATCAGTGCTCCTACCAATGTAAACACATATCCTGAAGTAGACCGGTGCTTGTTAAGATCTCTCGCATAATCTGAATCCACATAGCCAATAAATTCCTACCCATTCTTCTCATTCTTCTGAAAAATCAAACCAGCATCCATGGTGCCTTTAACATATAGTAAAATCCACTTCACGACCTCCTAATAACCATTCTCGGGGTTGTGCATGTACCTCGATACCATGCTCACAGCCTGTGCAGATCTGGCCTCGTACACACCATCGCATACATTAAGCTACCGACCATACTAGCATATGGAACCTTTGACATATAATCTCTATCCTCAACTAAAACAGGTGACATTAAAGCTGAAAACTTAAAGTGGGAAGCTAATGGAGTGCTAACTGCTTTTGCATTGCCATCAAAGCTGAATTTATTTAACATCTTCTGCAAGTAACTCCTCTGTATAAGCTTCAATCTCCCCTTCATCCTATCTCTCTCGATCTCTATACCCAATATCTTCTTAGCTTCTCTAAGATCCTTCATCTTAAACTTGGATGACAGCTCCTTTTTTAACTTTCGAATAGCCAAAAAATTCCTGGAAGCAATAAGCATATCATCAACATATAATAACAAATATATGTACTCACCATCCTGTATTTTTGTGCATGTAAACACATGGGACATATGGGCTCCTCGTATATCTATGGTCAATTATAAAGCTGTCGAATCTCTTGTACCACTGTTGCGCTGATTGTTTCAAACCATAAAGAGACTTCTTTAGCTTGCACACCAAATCTTTCTTTCCTGCAGCTTTTAATCCTAAGAGTTGTGTCATGTAAATCTTCTCATCTAAATCACCATGTAGAAATCCTACCTTAACATCTATTTGGACCAAATACAACTCCAGTTATGCCATCAATGCCAATAAAATCCGAATCGACGAATACTTCACAACGGGTGAAAATATCTCATTGTAATCAACGCCCTTAATCCGTGCATATCTTTTGGCAACCAATCTGGCTTTATACCTAATATCCCTAATAGAAGATCCCTCTTTCTTTACATATACCTATTTGCAACCAATAGCTTTCTTTCCCTTAAGTAGATTTGCAAGATCCCAAGTGTTATTTTTCTGAAGAGACCGTATCTCCTCCTCCATAATTTCCCTTCACTTGATCGAATCAGAGCTAGACTCTGCCTCCCTGAATGTAGAAGGAACCACATCATTAATGACCTTCACTGATAAAGCATATGCAACCATGACATTATTATATCTAACGAATCACCCTTATAGGTCTATTTGCTGCAATGGACTCCTGAACATGACCCTGCTCCTGAGTCTTACCATCACTGTATCCTCCAAATGCCGATCTGTCATCCCATTTCCTTTCAGTGTCACCTCTGTAGGAGTCTCAATGGATACAATACTATCTGGAGTGGGTGGAGTCACATCATCTTCTATCTGCTATGTTATCCTACTAATCTGGTCTTCCTCCACCTACCGAGGAACTTGAGGCCTCATCATGTACGCCTCATCAAATATGACATCTCTGCTAATGACTATCTTCTTGTCCTGTGGATCCCATAATTTAAAACCTTTAACACCTTCTCTAAATCCTACAACTGCTGCTTTCCTCGCCCTCAGATTCAATTTTTCATCATTGACATGATAATAAGTAGGACACTCAAATATCTAAAGCGACTCATAGTCCCTAGCCATCGAACCAGACCAATGCTCCAAAGGAGTCTTCACCTGTATCGCAGTGCATAACAACCTATTAACGAGATGGCTCGCATAAACTAACGCCTCGACCCAAAAGGATCTAGGCAATCCATTCTGTGTCATCATACATTGCATCTACTCCAGCAAGGTACGGTTTAATCTCTCAGTCACCACGTTCTGTTGCGGTATCTCTCAAACTATGAAGTATCGCCTAATGTCGTGATCCTAGCAAAACTACAGAAATGGATCACTATTATACTCTCCACCATTATCTGAATGAAGAGTCTTAACCTTTCTACCTGTATGTAGCTTCACTTTCTTCTTTCACTCCACAAAAATATCCATGACCTCATGTTTATGCTTTATTGTATATACCCAATTTTTCCTAGAATAGTCATTAATGAAAGTAACAAAATAGTTGGTCCCACCAAATGACGTGTGCTTGGAAGGGCCTCAAACATCTGTGTGAATATAATTCAATATACCTTGGGTGTTGTCAATAGCGGTGCCGAACTTCACTCCAGTCTTCTTTCCAAGTACACAATGCTCTCACAACTCCATCGACTTCATTGAATGTACACATGCTTGAGGGACAATCCACCACTAGACCCCCCACTTTTCACCGGTAGTAATTTTACCTATTGGAAGACTAGAATGAGGATTTACCTTCGTTATATTAATCTTGACATTTTAGAGCTCATAGAAAAGAAATATGTAGAAAAGTCCAAGATTAGCAACATGACCGACGGTGAAAGACTCCTAGCTAATCTCAATGCCAAGGCCATGAATGCCTTAATTTGTGGCCTTTTTGTAAAACCCCAAAAATTTGAATATTTTATAATGAATAATAAATATGTTATATTATAAAAAAATAATATTTATTAATATTTTAGCATACTAATAATTTATTTGAGATCAATTCAATGTATATATGTGAATATAGAAGTGATATCATGCACACGTGCACGGGCCTGAATCTGGGAAAAACAACCAGTTAAAAGTATATGCATTTTTCACACTAAAACAGTTGGAATCTGGAAAAACTTAAAATACCAAAGTTGTAGGTATCTTCAATATCTTTCTAACAAATATTATATCACCTCATTCCGAGGTTGTATGTGAAAGTTATTGCCACAATACAGAAGATTGTTTTCCTAGTCAGACTAGGTTTCCTGGTTCAGGTCAAACAAGTTTGTTTCAGTTTTGCCTCTATAAATACCTATGTTTTTCATAAAAATTTCCTTTTTTATCATATCTATGAACCCTAGCAGCCACCATCTCCCCTCAAAAATCCTAGATGTTATTCTTATGAGTTTGGAGAGCTTTGTGAAGTAAAATATCGACACAAGGGCGAGATCATCGATGTGTAGCAAGGAGAAAACGGGTTGTTTGCACTTCCAATTGCTTGTTGTTTATCTCAGAGGCTTAGAACGACATTTGAGGTAAGATTATCTTCATCCTAACCTATCCCCATAGTTAAATAACTAGTGTAGATGATTAATATGATGTTGAATATGTGTTGCCAGGAGCAGGAATTGAAGATGGTGGAGATGAAACTGATGCTTGAACTGGGAACAAGCAACGGGAAAGGAAGCTTGAAAATATGGATTAATATACAAAATTGATACAGGAGAGGAGGGACTATTATGCAAAGACTTCTTAACTACAAGGGCTTGGAATAAAGTGTAGTTAATTCAGTTACAGGTAGTTAGTTTTCCTGTTTTTTTTCTAGTTGTTCTGTTGGCGCACGTGCACAGGCTTGCACGAGCTTTGAGCATTGAGCTTTGAGGGGTATTGTATAAATGGAGTTTGTAAGAGAATGAAGATCATCATGAATGAAATTAGAATTGTTCTTTTTCTCAAATTTAACCTCTGTTCTTCTTCTCTCTAAACTTCTTCCTCTCAATCTCAATTCTCTCTCACTTCCTGTCTACATCTCTCTCAACTATCTTAATTTTCTCTTCTTGAAGTTGTTTCAGGTTCAACCATGGCCAGAATTGAAGCTAGGAGAATCGATAGAGGATTGAGATCCTCACAATTGGTATCAGAGCATGATCGATCCTTCTCCGAGCTTGGTCGATCCCAACATCAATTGAGGGTAGCCATGGATGAGTTGTCTTCTCAGGTTTCAGATTTTTGTTCAAGAATTCAAGAAATCCAAGAATCCAAGCCAAGAAATGAGCAAGAGCTTCACAGATTAGGATTCGCAACCCAATCGAATCCTCGTCATCACCATTCACACGATGATCTATCCTATAACGGACGAAGTGTTGCATCAAGTGTTTTCTCCATATGGGTTTGTAGAGAAGATCGTCATTCTTCAGGAGACAGTTGGCTTTCAAGCTCTTATACAATTTCAATCCCATCAAAATGCGGTGGACGTAATGAATTCTCTACAATGACGCAACATTTATGATGGTTGTTGTCGATTAGCCATACAAATTTCCAAGGATATTGGCCAAGAAATCTTAGGGTCTGTGCCAAGGGATGATCGTCAGATCTATTCCAAGAACATTTTTGTTGCTTTCCCAGCCTCTGTTGAGAATCCTTCAAATTTTGGAAGAAACAAAGGAAGATGGCCACCTAGGTCAAAGGCAAGTGCGAAGAGTACTGATGTTGATGCAATAGCTCAGCCACCTGTTTCTGCATCTGCACATATAGAAACTTCAGGAAGGAAATGGAAGTCACATATGAAGCAGCAAAAGGAACAAGACACTGCAGGAAAAGATATAGATGGAGAACAAACTTTGAAGGACATGGATTCTTCACTGAGGTCTACTTCAAAGGCACCTAGTGTAGATCAAGCCGATTTTGATGATAGTGTTAAGCTAAGGTCTAGAAGGAAGCACCCTCTCAAGACAGAAGATATATCTTATACTCCTGATAACAAAAAGAAACAGGATGCAAGCCTGGTTGGTTCCAAGATCAAAGTGTGGTGGCCGGATGATAAGGAGTTTTATGAAGGCGTTGTCGATTCATATGATCCTGATACAAAGAAACATATGGTTGCCTATGAAGATGGTGAAATCAAGGTATTGCTGCTGATGGACGAGCGCTGGGAACACGTCGAAAGTGACTCAAGAAAAGATGTGGGGAAACGGAAAGCCGAAGGGAATGCAGAAATTTCTCAGAGCAAGAAGGTGAAAGGCAGTTCGAGTACAACATCAAAACAATCCAAATCGCAAGCGCAATCTAAAAGTGGCAAGGATTCAGGCAGCAAAGATGTTTCAAGACCTAGAGGTAGACCGTGAAATGGAGCTTCTAATCCTGGAAAATTATCCTTCGATGATACTTCTGGTACTTCAAAGAAAACAAGAAGAAAGCCCAAGCTCAAGAACCCACCATGGCAAATCTCAAGCAAGAGAAAGCCAAAGATCAAGAATCCACTATGGCCAATCTCAAGCAAGAAGAAGAAGACTAAGAAGACGGCGTTGTATGCTTTAAACGGATCGCGGGAGGCTCAGGTTTCTTCAGTTGTGCCTCCTAAGGGGATCTCGAGGGCCGAGCTCGAGGAAAAAGTTGGTGGTCAGATTTTCAAGATGGATTCGTCCCAAGCAGTCAAGCATAAATGGGTGGAGATTGGGAAACAATGGGTCTCCAGTAAGGATGGTGAAATATGGGCATTCACTATCAGAGCTTTTAGCTCGCCACTCCCAGACCACACCATCATTGTCAATTATGATGGCTTTGTTGAAGATGTTAAGGTTGGTGATGACCTTCTTGTGGATGGAAGAATGGTAAGGTTTAAGGTGGTTGAGAAGCTTGGACCGGATGTTAAATGTCGTTGTACTGATTCTGGACTGCTACTTCCATGAGCTAATCTTACTTTCTGGAGAGATGGTAGTCTAGTTCGAGAACGCAATGCCATGCTTCCTACAATATTTCCTAAGGACTGGCTAGACATAGACTTTGGGATTGTTGAAGGTCTGGACTTCATTGCAGTTTCATTTGTCAAGTTTGTAGAAGTCATCAATCATCTCAAAGGTTACATAGCTGCTAGATGTCGGGTCAGTAACATTTCGGTGCTCACAAAAATTGAGATTATTGATTCCTTGAAGAACTTAGAAGAAATCATCCAGGCCTCAAATGGAGCCTTGGTAGCACGAGGAGACTTGGGCGCTCAAGTTCCATTGGAACAGGTTCCTTCAGCTCAGCACAGGGTTGTTAAAATGTGTATGCAGCTGAATAAGCCAGTCATTGTTGCTTCTCAACTCCTGGAGTCTATGGTTGAGTATCCTATACCTACACGAGCTGAAGTTGCTGATGTTTCTGAAGCTGTAAGGCAAAGGGCTGATGCAGTGATGCTTCCTGGTAAGTCTGTCATGGGCCAATACCTAGAAAAGGCTTTAATTGTTCTAAGAAGTGTGAGCCTAAGGATTGAACGAGGCCGGGTGGAGAGAAGAGAAGCGTCGTGAAGCTATGGAGCTCCAGAATGTGGCATCATCTTTCACAGATAAAATCTCAGAAGAGATTTGCAATTCAGCTGCAAAAAATGGCGAACAATTTGGGGGTGGATGCTCTGTTTGTTTACACAAAAACTGGTCATATGGCTTCTTTTCTTTCTCGTTGTCGCCCAGACTGCCCAATCTTTGCCTTCACAAGCTCAACCTCAGTGAGGAGATGCCTAAACCTTCAATGGAGCCTCAATTCCTTCCGTCTCAGCTGCTCTGGTTGCTATAGGAGGTTTCCTACAATGAACCTTGAGACAAGGCCCAATTTAAGGGGAGGGAATTATTAGGAGTAGGAATTGAAGATGGTGGACTTAAAACTGATGCTTGAACTGGGAACAAGCAACGGGAAAGGAAGCTTGAAGATATGGATTAATATACAAAGTTGATACAGGAGAGGAGGGACTATTATGTTGGCCTTCTTGTTTTGATGATGTTTAACAAACAATTTACCACTAATGTTGTTTGTCTAGTATTTGTGTTTTCTTATTTATTATAGACAAACAACGTAGTTGGAGGTTGGATGGAATATGCGCTTCAACGATCATATCCAATGGAGGTTGGCGGAATAGTGGAGTGAAGCCTTGCAATTCAAAGTTAAAGATCAAGTTCAAGCTTCATCCGCGAGTTTACCAAGAAGAGCTTATTGAAGATCAAGATTGCTTGGGTAATGTAGTTTATAGATTTTATATTATGTGTGTTATATACTCTAAGCTCAATATCATATACACACATGTATTTGGTTTCTAAGCTCAAATATTATATTCTCAGTTTATAGACTTAACAATCATCATATACATATTTTATCAAGCCTATATAATCATTGTGTAAAGTTTCAAAACATTGTTTATGTCAAAACATCAAACTTCATGTATATCACTTTTTCATGTTTTGAACACTTTTGCAAAATAATGAGATTTCACAATTGGGAAATACAAATTGGAAAATTCTTTTTGTAACATGTTCAAAATATCATTTGCAAATATTTTTCAAAGTTTCATCAAGTTTGGAATTGATTTGTTATGTTTAAAGGAATTTACAAATTCACGTTTTCGTTCGTGCACATGTTCGTGTATGTTTTACAAAACTGATGAGTTTTCACAAATGGGAAGTCATATTTGAAAAATTCTTTCTCTGACATGTTTATCTACATGTTTAGAAACTTTCCTCCCGTTTTTACTATTTTTGGAGTTGATTTACTGTGCCAATTGATTTTACAAAATCGTATATGTTAACATTTACTGTGCCAATTGATTTTACAAAATCGTATATGTTAACAGTTTTTCAGAAACTGTAAATTTGTGTTAAAATATTCGTATATGTTAACAGTTTTTCAGAAACTGTAAATTTGTGTTAAAATATTTATTTCTCTCAACTGGGAAACTATTTTTCGGATATTCTTTCTCTGACATGTTATTCTACATGTCCAAAACATTCCCACAAAATTTCATAATTGTTGGAGTTAATTTACTATTTTAAATTGATTTTACAAAACATCTGCGCACTACTACAGTAACTCCGGTCGACCGGACCGGTCGACCGGAAATGTCTCTGGAACTTTTCCAGGTTTGAACAGTGCGAGCGGTCGACCGAAAAAAAGGTCGGTCGACCGCCCAGCTCCCAGAATGCCTATAACGGCTATTTTTTTGTATCCGTTGGAGGGGTTTTTGGTCTTTTGGTTTGGGCTTTTGTTTGAGGTATTGGGAGGCTATAAATACCCCCTTATACCTCAGTTTTTCATTATAAAAGAAATGTTTTAAGAAAGTTTTAAACAAGTTTTAAACAAGGGTTTAAGTGTGGTTTAGTGTTTGTTTAGTTGGTGAAGAAGTTTTCACAAGTGGAGGATATCATCTTCTTGTTTGGGCTTCATCTCCATCTCTCCATCTTGTTATTTAGAGAAGTTTTTCTAAACTCATATCTAGCTATTTATATGTTTGATTTACATTTCCATAAGCTAGATTTTGCATTGAGTTTAGATTTGATTTAGTTTTATCTCATTGTTTACACACACAACCATTGAGCTTATTGTATTTTCATACTTAGTATAATTTGACTTGTGGTGAGTTGTAACATTAAGAGTGAGCCTACATTGTGTTCTCATCTATTGTAGAGAACAAATTTATATTTGTTACATTGTGAGTGTTGTAAGGTTTTCGGTGAGCTAGAAAACCGAGTGTGTTGTGAAGTTTTCGGTGAACTAGAAAACCGATTGTGTGGAGTGACGTTGATCGGTGAGCATTGAAAACCGACATTGTGAGCTGTAAATATTATTCGGGTGAGCGTAGAAAACCCGGTTGTGATAGTGGATTTCTCCCCGGGAGTGGGGATTGGAGACGTAGGACGGAAGGTCCGAACTCCGTGATCATATCTTGTGTTTGAGTGTGCTTTGACGTTTATTTATACTTGTGTTTATATTTCTTATCGCCATTGTCATTAGCTCATTATTTATATGATCCACTATCTAGTTCACATTGTTTACCCCTTGTGTTCATCATATAGGATATATCCCTTGTTTACATTGCTTATCCTAGCTTATATATTTTGTTATATTTCATACTTGCTAGGATAACTTGTTAATTAATTTTAATTAGCATATAATCGGATTAGATTAGCATAAGACCCTAATCACCCCCTTCTAGGGTCTAACATATTATGCAAAGACTTCTTAACTACAAGGGCTTGGAATAAAGTGTAGTTAATTCAGTTACAGGTAGTTAGTTTTCTTGTTCTTTTTCTGGTTGTTCTGTTGGTGCACGTGCACAGGCTTGCACGAGCTTTGAGCATTGAGCTTTGAGGGGTATTGTATAAATGGAGTTTGTAAGAGAATGAAGATCATCATGAATGAAATTAGAATTGTTCTTTTTCTCAAATTTAACCTCTGTTCTTCATCTCTCTAAACTTCTTCCTCTCAATCTCAATTCTCTCTCACTTCCTGTCTACATCTCTCTCAACTATCTCAATTTTCTCTTCTTGGAGTTGTTTCAGGTTCAACAATGGCCAGAATTGAAGCTAGGAGAATCTGTTAGACCCTAGAGGGGGGTGATTAGGGTCTTATGCTAATCTAATCCGATTATATGCCAAATAAAATTAATTAACAAGTTATCCTAGCAAGTATGAAATACAACAAGTTATATGAGCTAGGATAAGCAAGATGAACAATGAGATATATCCTATATGATAAAAAATATATGCAAGGATATATATAAACTAACACAAGGGGAAACAAAAATCTAAACAAGATAGTAGATGAAATAAATGAGCAATGCACAAATGGCGATATAAAATAAATGCAAAAACAAATACGCCAAAGACAAACTCAAACAAGCAATATGATCACGGAGTTCGGACCTTCCGTCCTACGTCTCAGCTCCCCACTCCCGGGGAGAAATCCACTATCACAACCGGGTTTTCTACGTTTACCTGAATAACGTTTACACCTCACACTCGGCTTTCTAGCTAACCGAAAACTTTACAATCGGCACTCTTGCAATCACACTCTACACCCTCACAAGTGTTGAACTAGACGTGTCTCCCTCAAGTGCTCGGTTACAGCCTCTCCCTAGGTTCGTCAACCAACGTCACTCCTCTTGGGACGATCCCCGACTCTCGTCACACACTTCTCTCGGTGTACAAGTGTATTACAAAGTGAATCTCACAATAAGGCTCAATATAATAAATGTTTGTTCTCTACTATGGATGAGAACACAATGAAAGCGTGAATCTCACAATAAGGCTCAATATAATAAATGTTTGTTCTCTACTATGGATGAGAACACAATGAAAGTTCACACTCAATTGTTACA